ATATTGATGATTATTCTTATCTAACTAAAACTATCTTTCATCTCTTTCAGATATCTAGTCCAACTGATGTTTTTGGTTCCTCCTCCTGCAACAACAACAACAACAACTTTTCCTTGTTGAACATATGCTCGAAGGTGTAATTAGATGGCACCAACTACAACGATTGGATGCATAACATAAACATGGCCCTTCGTTTCGAGGACAATGAGTACATCCTCGAGAGACCATTAGATGAGATCGACGAAGAGAGGGCCACTCTTGAAGAAATGGTCGCCTACAAGAAACACTATAATGATGCCACAAAAGTTGTGTGCGTTATGGTGGCGACAATGACTCCAGAATTGCAAAGACACTATGAGGATTATTGGTCGTACGAGATGAACAAGGACCTTATGCAAAAATACCATAAGAGAACTCGTTAGGAAAAGTATGAGGTGGTAAATTCCCTCATTGCTAGGTTAATCAAACTCAACGTGAATTTTGATGAAGATTTGGCAATTGACATAGTGTTGAACTCGTTGCCAAGTTGTTATGATCAATTCACATTAAGCTATCATTTGAACAACAATGAAACTACTTTGTCTCAATTACATAACCTCTTATGAACAGGTGAAGTGGGAAAGAAGGGAAAAGGTATTACCTCCATTCCTGCTAGTGCACCTATTTTGGCTATAGTTCAAGGAAAAGGGAAGAAGAGGAAAGGTCCTTCCACGCAGAACTGGAAAGGAAAGTCCTAAGCTAGTTCATCAAGTACATCACCCAAATGAAAATCTAGTTCTGATTCTCCCCATGTTTCTAATCCCAAGGAGACTACTTGATTCTATTGTAATAACAAGGGGGATTGGAAACGAAGCTACCCAAAATACTTGTAGGATATCAAGGATGGAAAGGTGAAGCCAACATCAACAATTATTTACACTATCTTATCTAATAACTCATCATATTCTCATTCTTGGGTCCTTGATACATGATGTGGTTTTTACATTTGTTCTGATTGTTCAGGGGCTAAAAAGAAGTGAGGATGTGGAGCATGGAAGGATGAACTTGATCATGGGGAATATGTGATCTTCACATGTCACAAAGATTTGAGTTTATAGCTTAGTGCTTATTAGTGGGTTAGGGTTAGAATTAATAAATTGTTGTTACCCGTTAGAGATGACACGAAACATCATTTCATTTCATGCTTTATTCAAACAAGGTCTTAGATATTTTTTAATGATGAGAATGGTTCTATTTCTGCTTATAAAAATTGTGTTTTTATTTTGAACCTTTACCATGTAATATTGTGTATGAAACTGTGATGATTGTAAGCAATTTAGGAAATAGTGTTTTTCAAATTGATTCATCTAATGGTATAAACAAAGTGTGATTGTGTCATTTTCATCTTGGATACGTTAAGAAGAAACACATGGCCCAACTCCAAAAGGATGGAGTGTGGGAATCATCTGACTTAAGGTCATATGATACATGCGAGTCTTGATTATTAGAAAAGATGACAAAATCACCTTTTACTGGTTCTTGTGAAATAGGTGGAGCATTGTTAGATCTCATACATACAGATGTGTGTGGGCCCTTCAGATCCATCACAATGGATGCAAATCGATTCTATGTGGCTTTTACTGATTATTAAAGCAGATATGTTATATCTACTTAATAAAGCATAACTTAAAAACCTTTGAAAAGTTCAAAGAGTTTAAAAATGAAGTCGATAATCAATTAGGCATGAAGATAAAGATGCTTAGATCCGATAGAAGCGGTGAGTATCTTAGTATCGATTTCCACGACTACTTCAAGGAATGTGGAATAGTTTCACAATTCACATTTTCTAGGACACCGCATGAGATGTGGATACGGAAGGTTCCATGATAAGTTGAGCTTCACTTCCAATCTCATTTTGGGGGTATGCCTGAGAGACTTCCGCCCACATTCTTAATCTTGTCCCAACAAAGAAAGTTGCCAAAACACCTCATGAGATGTGGATACGGAAGGTTCCATTGTTAGCGCATATCAAGGTTTGGGGTTGGGAAGCTTTTGTTAGATGAGAGACTCACGACAAGCTTGAAACTTGAAGTGAGAGATGTATTTTCATCGGCTATCTACAAAAGTCCTTTAGATATTTTTTCTACACACTTAATGAACATGGTCTTTGTATCATGAAGGGGAGTCTTGAGAGAGAGAGAGAGAGAGAGAGAGAGACAGAGAGAGAGAGCTTATATGCAAAGAGGACAGTGGGAGTACCATTGATCTTGAAGAAATTCAAGAGTAAGATGAAGGAACTTCTGAAAATGCTTAGGCTCAACCTGAGGAAGAAATTCCAGTAGAACCAATTGACGAATCATTACCTCTTAAGCATTCCAGTAAAGTTAAAATGCCACCTGAGTTTTATAGTTTCCATATTAGTACAGATGGTGATACATTTATTAGTGTTATAACACTGGTAAATTTAGATGAACAACTAACTACAAGGAAACCATGGCAGACCCTGATTCAACCAAATGGAAAGAGACAATGGATAGCGATATCAAGTTCATGTATGATAATTAAGTTTGAAATTTGGTTGATAATGTACCAGGTCACAACACAGCTGGGTGCAAAAGGATTTTCAAGAAGAAGACCGACATGAATGGAAAGATACACACCTTCATGGCTCGACTGGTTGTGAAGGGCTTTACGTAAACCCCAGGGGTTGACTATGATGAAATCTTCTTATCTAGTAGCTAAGATAAAATTTATTAGGGTAATGTTAGCCGTAGCTGCGTTTCATGACTATGAAATTTGGAATATGGATGTCAAAAATACTTTCCTTAATAGGAAGCTAGTTAATGATGTTTACATGAGTTAGCCAGAGGGTTTTGTGGATGCAAAGTATCTAAATAGAGTGTGTAAGCTTGAGAAATCAATCTATTGACTGAAACAAGCTTCTGACATATGGAATCTTTGTTTTGATGAGAAAGTCAAAAAGTTTGGTTTCTCTAGAATGTCAATGCTAGTGGGAGTATAGTAACCTTCCTGGTTTTGTATGTTAATGACATACTTCTTATAGGAAACAACATTCCAACTTTGCAAGAGGTTAAGTATTGGCTTGAAAAGTGTTTTGCAATGAAGGTTCTACGAGAGGCTGCTTATATTCTAGCGATAAGGATTTTGAGAGACTAGAGAAAAAGGCTAATTAGACTTAGTCAAAGTACATACTTGGAAAAGGTACTAAAGCATTTTTGTATTGAGAATTCCAAGAAAGGAGAACTGCCTATACAGAGTAATACCAAACTAAGTAAGACTCAAAGCCTAAGTACTGATGCAGAGATAACATAAATGAGTAGAGTTTCATATGCTTCTATCATTGGATATATCATGTATTCTATGACATGTACTCGCCATGACGTGGCTTTTGCTTTGAGCATGGTCAGTCGTTATCAGGGAAATCCAGGTAGACCTTACTAGATAGCAGTTAAGAATATTCTTAAGTATCTGCACAGAACTGAGGATTGGGTTATTGTGCTTGGTGGCAGTGATAAGTTAAGAATAACTGGGTATAGTGTGACATCCCCAAATTCAACATCAATTTAAAAATTTTATTTATGCTTATCTGAAAATCATAGTATTCATTTTAAAGAATAATATTGCAGAATTTGTTCCCAGAGAAACATGATAAATATATTATCAAAGCATTTCCGAAGAAATGTATTTTTGTTTATATTAAAACTTTGGGATGTCATCGTCAATATAGAAATATAAGCATAAACCGACCTTTCACTCATTAACATTAGTGATTCATATCTCCTTTAATCTCTTAGTGTAATGTAGCTTCATATCGATACCTGTGATACAAGTAAACTGAGTGGGTCAGGTTGGGAAACTGGGTGAGTACATAGGGTTTTCAACCCATAATAATAAAGGTATTATGTTTCATAATCAAACAATTAACCCAATTATCCATCCCCATTATCTTCTTTATTCTTAAGGATTTACCCTAAGAATCATATATTCTTCATTTATTCATTTCTAATGATTATCCTAAGGAATAGGAACGAAGTCCATCATTGTCAGAGTTTATCTAACATGCACTAATTCCATAGTTTCCAATGTTATCTATTAGGCACAACTGTCAACATTATCTTTTAGGTGCAACTGCTAGGATCTGGTGAACACGTAGTTCAAAAACATTTATAGGTTGTGGCGAAACTGCCAATGTTCATCTATAGGGCACTAAATCCATAGCTGCCAGGGTTTATTTATTTTATCGAAAATATTATTTTAGGGAGTTCACCCATAATACATGTCAATGGGTTTTTAGAGTACATCTGGTGAACACATCGTTCACAACACCTACAGGCTGCGAGCCTACTAGTGTTCCATTGGACTGTCTAGAATACTTCGTGGTTGTCATCTATACTCTGCTAGATGATTGGGCTATCGCTTGGGTTATCACTTCTCATCATCTTTCACCTCTCATCACCTATATCATATTTCATCTCTCATCTCATCTCTAATCTACCATTCTTTACCCATTATAATTATAGGTATAAGATAGGTATATAGTTTAAATCGAATAAAACATGTATATTTTGTTCATCCAACATAGATATCAAGAACACATATATTATGCACCAATAGCACGTAATTTATATTATATACTCCATATCTATGTTTAATATGAAAGTAACTATGCACTCAATTGTTAAAGTGATGATTCCAAACTCGGGAAGCGCTTCGCTTCTAACGATTCTATTTTCCTTCGATGAAACCTAGCATTATTATCGCTAAGTTTTAGTCTAATTTTTATTGTGACTAATTATTAGTCTAGATTCATCATTAACTCAAATTCTACTTTCATGATCTATCAAGTAAGGAACAACCAAGTAGGATCATATCGAAGGTAGGATCTGTTTGGTATACGAAGTATACTGTT